GACATGTAACACAGCGGCCCACAGTCACCCTGATGTGTAACACAGTGGCCCACAGTCACCCTGACATGTAACACAGTGGCCCAGGCCCCACAATCACCTTTGTTTTAGAACCCACAGAGGCCAAAACGCACACTGCCCTTCCTCCAAAGACAAACTGAACTGAGTCTTGGGACCAGAAGACAGGTGATACAAGTCTGCAGCCCTGGGTTTCCCAACTCCAGAGCCCATGCTCCTGACCACTGGACCTGTTCAAGTGCCAGGTAATTTCCTAGTAACTACTGAACCCATGGATCTGGGGCCAGAGCAGGAAGAGAAGAGCTGTTCTCTTAGATGCTGCTCACGGAAATCATGGGCTCCTGTTGGCAGCTCAGCTGGGCTGAGATGCTGCTATATATTGCCACCCGAGGAGAAGTTTTGCCATTTTCTAGTCTCTGGGCCAACTGTGAAAGGCATCAGCACATAAATTTAATGTCTATTGCACGATGTACTTTAGTTAATCTAGGCATGCAAGCCTGTGAGGAGAGCTCAGGCCTGTGAGAGGAGGCAGGACTCTGAGGGGAGAGCTGGGTCTCTTAAGGAGAGTCCTGGATCTGAAGGTGAGCGCTCTATGCAGGGCTGAGGAGAGGATCAGGCTCTGAGAAGAGCACAGGGTTCTTTTGACTACTGACTACCCAAGTCTTCCATTTAAGTCGGCCAGGTCCACCTGGGACCTGAGAGACGGCCAATTCCTATGGGAGCTAACTCCTGGGAGAGAGTCTCCAATGGCAGAGCTCCCTCAGCAACTTCACCCTGACTTGGGGACCAGCAGAGACCAGAGGCTGGGACATTGAGGATCTGTTACTGGTGGTATGGAGAACAGATATACAGGGTGAAGTGTAGGAGAGTCCCCTGTCATGTGTGACAAATCACACCAGTCATGATTTTAGGTAGAACATGACTCGAGAGAGTTGGGTCAACCTCAGTCTTGAACCTGGAACATATTTGCTTCATTCTGACATCTGGCCTATAAGGACTGAAGGGAAGAGAACATAGTAAGGGGCCAGTAAAAAGGAAAACCTCCCAAGAAACAACAGCACCTTTCAAGAACTGTAACAGCAGCCTCAGGCAGGCATCGAAGTTGCAAACTGTGTCAAATTAGACAGGAGCTCTCTTCTCTGATCCTAACAAGGACAGAAACTAAGCCCTCTCTCTATTCCGCGCAGCCCTGCTGTGTGCATACGCTACTTTTCTGCTACGGGGAAAACACAGCCTTTGAAATGACTCTTTCAAGTTCAAGTTGAGTTTCAAGTAATCACCTTGCAGTAGCCCCTGAAGAATTACAGCTCCTCCAGGTTTAAAGTGCCTAGTTAAAAAAAAAAAAAAAAAGCGGGAGTGGGATGGAAAACAAGCCCGAGAGGCTCGGACTCCTCACTCCTCACTCCTCACTCCTCACTTCCTGCCTTTTGTTACAGGACAGAACACTGACGACTTCACACCTGTCAGGGAACCAAGCCCAGTTCTACATCGTGAGGGATCTGAGCACAGACACTAAGAACAGGAGTGAGTGTAAGCACTACCCATCCAGTTCACCAAGAAAGGCCACAAAGCAGCCAGAGGAGACTTCTCTGGTGCTGCTGGAAGAAATTCAGCACCAGAGTCTAAGGTGTATCTTCACCGTATCTGAGGAGGAAGAACAACAGAAGAGGGCCCCTAAATCTACTGTCGGATCTAAAATGCTTAAAAGTAAAAGAAGGAACAGAACTCATCAGGCAGAAGGCAGAACTACTCACAGCTGCAAAAAATGTAGCTGAGCCTAGAATTCAGGGCTGCCACGGCTTCACAGGCAGGAGTGAGACATCCTCCTGAGCGGAGGCTCCTCTCCACTCTGGGCCAATGTGCGCGCTTTCCTGCCTACCCCATAACTGTATGTGTATAGCTAACAGAGCTGGAAGGAGTTTTGGGGGACTATTCAAAAGGCAGAAAGACACCCCCCCCACCCAGTGTGCCAAGGCAGTTTTCCTTCCCTTCTGACTGCATGGGGCAAATTCAATGAAGCGTTAGCTTTAGTCTTTATGAGCAAACCCCTGCTTTGCTTCTAGAAGACACTCAGTAAAGCCCGAGACTCCCAACAGCTAACTGACAGGGAGAAACAAAGGTTATCCAGTTTCTTCAGCTGGAAAGGCTTGGTTCCGGAAGCTGAAACCATACTATGAGTGATGCATACTTTTTAGAAATAAAAACACCTGCGTGCCAAGAAAAAAAAAATCAAGTTCCTGTTGAATGGGCTGGACTACCCTTGGGAAGCCCACGGGCCTCACTTCTGCATCTGGCTGCTGCTCACATCTGGATGTCCCTTGTAGGAAGAGGAGAGCATCTGCAGCCACCTCAGAAATGAAAAAATCAAAGCAGAAAGTTCTGGAAAAGATTCTAAGCTCATGTAAGATGCAGTAAATCAACCTAACGCTAGTATGATGAATACTATCATGAGATGTGTGTGCACAGGGCTTCAACTGTCCCGCAGAAACCTTTGGAGACACAGGCATGGGCTGGGTACATGAGGCACTTGGTGTCTCTGAATCTGTCCTAGTTTCCTGCTCCTCAGGCCAGCCCACCGATGCACACATCTTTTCATTTAAAATCCAGCAGAACTGATGAGAGCATTCTCTGCTTAGTGCAAAGCGCCGCAATGAAGGCTGGGGTGCTTAGACTCAGTACCTGCTTTGCAAACCCAGATCAACTCACACAGAGGTCCTCGCTCAAGCTCCAGTGACTTCATAAGCCAGATAGGGAGGGCTGAATCCCACCTGCTTCCTTAGGAGGGTCCCGGAAACACAAGTGCAGCTCTCGGGAGTAGGTCAGTATTTGCTGAGTGATACAGACACTGCCATGCCTCATCAGTCACTGGCTTCCTCAGGGCTCTCAGATCAAGGGGAGTCACCATCACAAAGAAGCCTTGCTCTCCCTTCGGCGGGTATTTTCCAGGCAGTTCTGGGCCTCAAGGTGCATACAGTGAAAGCTACCTCACCCCTTCCCAGAGCATCCATGTCTTCACTAACCACGGGAGGGCTGTGCAATCAGGAAACCCAGCCTTCTAGAAGACAGCACTGCAGGGCTTGTCACACTCCTTAGAGAACTTCTGGAACCCCAGGTGTAGTATACTGGGTAGGGGATATTAAGTGTAGCCCTCAAGAGGTGCTGTTTCCCCAGACACCTGACTGGTGGCCCTTCAGACCCGAGGCACCACAGCAAGGACAACTCTACTGTCACCCTCTCCTGCTTAGGGTTGGCCTCTGCCCACTTATAAAGAATAAAATGACATCTTCGAGTCCTTGGCCATCAGAGTACCTCAGCAGCAGTGCTCAGAGCGACGTAACAGAACACCTGTTCCAGCACAAACAAGGCTCAGACACAACCCCCAGGCCCTTTGGTTGCTGGATCGTATGAAAAGTCCAGCCGGAGCCATGACTCCTCTGAGCAGTCAGGCTCAGCCCTAGACTGGCCCTTTCCAGAACCAACCACTAGTTGGTAAATACATTTTTAAAAATCCTACTAAGGAAGAGAGATGCAACCTAGCAAAACCGACTACTGTCTACAAAGAGTTCCACATTTACACGAAATATGTGTTTGACACAGCCATGTAACTGAAGGTCGAGGGTTTCAAGGGCTTATCTGAAGCACCAGGAGACAGTAGTGCGTGTAGCTTGTGACTACAATTCAAAAGTAAACATATACAGACGGACTGTCAAGTTACGTGGCACAGCCTGCACACACACACATTCGAGCACTCTTTCTTCTCACAGGACACTCACTCTTGAGATTAAAAAACAAAACAAACAAACAAACAAACTTCATTTCAAATTAAGCACTTAAATCTTTGAAAAAAATCTGTGTTAGATATGCTAGAAAAACAAGCAAGCAAACAAACAAGCAGCAAGCCTACTTTAGACACAGCTGAGGAGAGTGCCTTCATCTGCCTACTGTAGTTAAGAGACGACCTTCCAGTAAAAAGAAATTGCACTTCCCCCAAAGATGTTTGTGTTTCAAATTTTAAGATCTAGCCTCAGTTGCCAAATGCAATAGCATGCATCTGGTCAGAGTGCCTTACAGAGGAGAGAAGGACCACTCAAGATGCTGAGACACAAGCGGGGTAATAAAACAAGCCCGCGCCAGAGGCGCCACAAGCTATTCCACAGCGCTGAAAGAGGAGTTAGGAAGAGGTCTGCCTGACTGAAACATCAAAATAAAACTCAATATATAGCCCTACTTGTCAACAAGATGGTTTTATACACACACACACACACACACAGACACACACATACACACACACACACAAAATAATAGTTTGGCACTTAGCAGCTTTTGTTGATATTGCATCCCATATTAAGTTGCAAATTTATTTTATAAAATATTAATTTCTGCAGCTACTGTGTCAATAAACTGAACTGAAAACCTGTTTTGTTTTTTGTTTGTTTGTGATTTTTTTTTTTTTTAAAGTGAACTGATCAAGTCAACAGGCACCAGTGACACTGCTGTCACCTACTGCTCTAAACAAGAAACTGTCTCTCCTTGGAGAGGCCTGAAGCAGACTGAGAAGAATTTTAAATTTCAGGAGTTAAAAACAAACAAACAAACAAACATCAACCAAAACAGAGCCGTTACCACAGCTGTCCTGGATATCAGTTTCTCTCTGCTCTGGCTGGCCATGGCTCTGTCCTGTGCAGGTGTTTCACCAAAGTCAACTTGCCCTTTTTGGCAGTTTCTCTCCTCTGAAGCCACCATCTCAGCAGCAGCAGACAGTGCTTCTCTGAGCAGCTTCTGGGACGGAAAGCTTCCCAGTGGGGGAACGTGCCAACAATGTGGCCGAAACGCATCACACAACCCAAGGCTGGCGGTGAGTGACATCGAATTCACTGGATGCCATGAATGTGTGGCACACCTGGCCTACTGCAAGGGATAAAAATCTCAGACCTTCTCTTGCCAAGTTACTTCTGGCCATAGCAGTTAGGAAGTGGGTCCCAGCCCCTTTTATACCCCACCCCCGCCTCTTTTTAGTAACTTCTTAGTGCTGACGGCTCCCAGCAAGTGTAAGAAAATCCTGCAGAGAGTCCACCCTTTTAGGAAAAGAGGATTGATGTCTTATATGCACTTTAACTGCATATAAACATCTCACGTAGGAAGTTTCTAGAAGAAATTCCTGTCCTCCAATATAACCAAAGGATATACTTCTACATTTAGCAATCACAAGGTACAATGTTGCCTTTTACACTCCTACTTTAAGAGAAAGAAATGTGAAGAAAACAGTTAGAAACGAGGAACTCTCTGTCAAGCTGACTAGAAACTTGACATTGCACACCATGAAATAATCCAGTGTGTCAAGTCTCTTGTTTCACACCAAGGTGCCATAATCTAAATGGAAAACAAAATATCTTACGAGAGAACTCCCACTAACTAAAGAATTCTTTTGACTAAGGGGAAGTGAAAGGGAGGGTGAAAGCGGAGGTGACTGATGGGGAAGGGTACTAATGGGAACAGAATAAAATTAAGTTGAGGTAGTTTATTCTACCAGGCAAACATTACTGGGAGCAAAATTCATCTAAACTCCTACGCTTTGGGAGCGGCCTGTTACGAAGACACAGTTCTACACATGCCTGCATTCAAAGACAAGCTTGTAGCTCTAAGCAGCAGTAAACAGGACTGAGTGTGCTTTCAGACAGATCAAATGCAGACCTTTTGATTCCTATACACGGTACCCGGACAGCTTTTTTTTTTCCATGTCTCTCTGTTTTTAGTGATAGCGGAACTCTCCTTTGCCCGACTCTGTCTGAAGCCTCCTCTGCACTAACAGCCTGGAGCATAGAAAATGGTTCTGCTTTTCCAGGTGGACAGCAAGAATATATGACTGAGCTCCCGACGATCTCACAGCGCCACCCCAGAACTCTCTCGGCCTGGCGCAGGATCTTTTATGGTGAGCGGTTCCTTTAAGCTCACAAAAAGGGTTCAGGCCCGAGCTTCTCGGGAGACTGAATCTTTACTAAGGTAGACTGTTGCCAGAGAGGAGTTTGTCTTAGTTTCAATTCATCAGAATATAGTTTTTAAGTCTTAAGACAGAGCACTAGGATTAAGTGGGAACTAACTGCACAAACCTCAATTACTGGGCGGGGCCAGGCACTCTACCCTCCCGTGCAGCACAAGGCCAGCCGCGTGTGCCGTGTGTGCCGTGCCGGGTATGTTGGTTTGCATATATGGATTCTGTTTGTTTACCACAGCCACACACACTGGAACGCAGCAGTCAGTCAGGTAAGAGTTCCCTTCTGGGAAAATGCACCTTAGGGCTTTAACTTTGATATTTCACATGACACCAACCCCCACACCCTTCTCCTAGGACACTCACTAGCCTTGGTTACGGACGCACCAGGCTGGAGGAACTGATTCCTCCCAGGTAGTTTTTCAACAGTACTCCGTCTCCAGACAAGGGCAGAAGCCTGAGCTTCTAAGCATTAAAAAACCACCAAAGAGTAACCATACTGAAGCCCAGCACACAGCAAGATGGGGCTGCTTCTCTGTGCTTGCTGCCAGCCAGCCACATGATACACTTGGGGCAGGATCTCACTTTTGGCTCCTCTTCCTCCTCAAGGGGAATGGACCCGGATGCGGAACAAGCCTTGTTGCAGCTGCAGGCGGAAGAGCTTGCAGTTGGCTATGCGCAGGGCTGCGCAGCCTGTGCGCCGAAGGTCGGACGGCAGGAGTGGCTTCGTGTGGTGCCAGGTGCCCGTGCTTCTCTTAAACTCCCGCACGTAGTCGTAGTTGGTACCTAAGCCACAGAGGGAGCAGAGCTGAGCGGACGCCCCTGAACCACAGCGAGCAGCTCCTGGGAGAGCATCGCAGCTTTCTCACCTGTGTCAAGGTCTCCGATAACATAAATACTGGCTCCTATGGGGACGGCTCCATAGACAAAGGAGGAACTGGCAGGGATGCATAGGTTCTGATCATTAAGGTAGATCCACCTGGAAGCAAGGCCAACAGACACAACTCAGAAAATCAGACGCATGGCTGACACAATGAGGAAGACAAATGGACAACACAGCTCGGCAAGGCATCAGCGCATTGCACCCAGCCTCTCTTGACCCCCTTCCCCCACCCCCATCCGCTCTCCTCACAAGAACCTTGGCTGTAGTGACTGTCAAGACAGACAGCAGAGGCTCAGACAGTGCCTCTCACAGAGGGGGACTGTCTCCGCTGCATATTGCAGCTCCTGGCATTCAGTCATGCGCGGCTTTCGTCAGGCACCCGCCTCTCTCTCTCTCTCTCTCTCTCTCTCTCTCTCTCTCTCTCTCTCTCTCTCTCCTTCCTTTCTTCCTTCCTTCCTTCTTTTTTGTTTGTGTGTGTGTGTGTGTGTGTCTGTGTGTCTGTGTGTGTGTAGGGATATGTGTATGAGTTCAGTGCCCACGGAGGGCAGCAGACGACGTCAAAACCCTTGGAGCTGAAGTTACAGGTAACTGAGCCCACTGGTGTGGGCGCTGGAAACTGAATTCGGCGCTCTGCAAGTGCGGCGAGCGGTCTTCCTAGCAGAGCATCTCTACAGCCCAGGAGTATGCTTCTCATTGCTAAAGTTTCATCATACTTGATAGCATTCATCCGGATGCCTTTTGACTCGGGCTGCTGTGACTACAACAGTCAGTGACCTTAGGTGAGCCTTGATGGGATCTGTTTTTCGGTGGACTTATGAAGCTGCTGGATTTGGTGGACAGTCCATGTGCCCTAGAAGTGATGAAAAAAATGTCCTCTTCTCAAAGCACAGTGCTGCTTTGTTTTCTAGTCGGCAAGGCACGGGAATTCCAGCTGCCTGTGCTCACCAGGTCTCAGTCCTTTGAAGACTTATTTCCTTAAAGTCTAACTATGCTGGGTATTTTGACAAGAGCTTCCTGGCCTTGTCACTTTATGTACCTTCCTTTGCAAATTATCTATTTGAAAATTCGCTCATTTTAGAAAACATACATACAAATAAAAATAAGATAATTTTTTTTTAAAGGCATTCTAGAAAATACCTGACCAATCTTCAAGTGTCAAGGTCAGGAAAGACAGGCTACCACAGGCTAATGAACAGCAAGGGAGCATAACATCTCTTGGCAACTAGAATCCGGACTGAACTGAGACAAGGGGCATGCATGCTGGTGGGAAGTGGGTGACACTGCAGGCAGTCTGTACTTAGCTAGTACAGAGCTAACGTGTGTGTTCTGATCACGGGGGACACTAACAGCAGCTAAGTGAATGATTTATGGGCACACCTTGACTTTCGGAAACGTTTCTACAAGTCTAAATTTACTGCAGGGGCTGGAGAGGTGGCTCAGCCGTTTAGAACGCTTGTTGCTTTTTCAGAAGACACAGGTTCAATTCCTAGCACCCACATGGCAGCTCATAGGCATCTGAAACTCAGTTCTAGGGGATCTGATGCTCTCTCCAACCTCCACAGGCATACACACAGTACACATATAATGCAAGGAAACACTCATAAACAGAAATCAATGTAAAAACATGACTGCAAACAGTATGGGTGTCTGCGGTAGAGCCTGCTGACCTGAGTTTGAGCCATCGGATGATCCATATCACAGACTCAGCTCCTGCAAAGGTTGTTCTCTAACCTCATATGACGCAAGTAGATTTTAGGTTTTGCCATGTAGCAATGTTCACTCAGGAAACTGACCCATTTCCCACAAATGGCTTACAGCCACGCCTGATCATAGCCACTGCCTAAGCAGCCTTGAGGCTCTGCCGTCCAGGACGGTGCATGCCATTCTGTGGACACTTTGGCCTCTCCACTCTGCTGCACAGCAGCTAAGAGGACCAGCATAGTAGGCCTCTGATGGCCTCTGATGTCAACTACCAACAAAGAAACACCTTGTAAAGAATACCATTCACTTCAACAAACTCTTCACCGACTGTCACAAAACACACAGCTTCCTTATTTTAAGTTTCAAGAAACAAGATCATTTGCCCAAGATTATAAAACAAAGCTAAGCCACTACATTTCTCCTCCTCTCCCCCTCTCTCCTTCTTGTCTCTCCCCTCTTTCTTCCTTTCCCTTTCTGAGACAGTGCCCAGGCTAAGCTTCCAAGGGTGACCTTTAGCCTCAGTTCTTCTTCCAAGTGAGTGCTGGGTAACATGCCCAGGTTATGGGGTACAGAGGATGGGCCCCCAGGGCTCCATTATGCTCTCCTGAGCCACATGCCCAGCCTACTATCAGGTAGCTTACTGGGGCTAGAAATACTGAAGTTGGCCCCACACATGTCCACCCAAGTATTCTACCTAGTCATATCCCAGCCCAATGTCCACCATCCTCAGAGTCCTTTTCATTCCTTGTCATGTCTGGTCAGTAATTACATACACCATTGCATTTTCTGTTTAGGTTACTAGTGTGGGTTTTGCCTCCAGGCCTCACCATGACTGAGGTCAAGAGCAGGGTCTGCTCCCTGGGACTCATGGCTTTACGAGTCTTACTAAGGCAACGAAAACACTCCCTTCTTCTAACCATCAGATTCAAATGACATTCGCAAGGCCAGGCAGTGTGGTGTCTCTGCAGAGCGTCAGGATGAGACACTTTTATAAATGGCTAACTCCGCCCTGAGTGCACACTGCACAGGTGAACTGCTGGCCCTGCCGATAAGACTAAGAAATAGAAACCTCCTTTGCATATCCTTGCAAACAGGAAGGATGAAGAGAAAACATCAGCTAGATCAACAGCTGCAGAGCAAGGCCTGGGATGGAAAGACGCAGCCTGTCAAGGACACACCCCATCTGGACAGTAATGGCGATAGTCTAGTCAGAGCAGGGCTGAGGATGCCACACACTGCTTTTCAAGACAGATCGGACATGTCCCCCCCCCCAGCTCTCCCTCCTGAGTTCTCAATGTGGTTGAAATTGGTCTGAACTAGCAATTCTCCTGTTTTGGTCTTCTAAGTACAGGTAGGTCCCAGCACACCCAGCCATTTCTCCTCTCTAAGTGACCTGTGTGGAGGGATGGGCCTCACATGGATGTCTGCTGCCACTGCCCTGGGATGCGGTGGCCTTCTTGTCTTTGGAGGGCAGGAGTGTTCAGGGGTTTACTTATCCCTTCCTGGGTCACTAGCATTTATCCGGGTGTCAATTAGGCATGGTTGTGCAATTGTACACTCAATGATAGAAAAGTGGCACCAGGAACACAATGTCAAAGTTAACACAGGGCCGTGTATCAAGGCAGGAAACAGAGAGTAAGAGGACGGGATGTATAAAGGGAAGATGTTGAAGGAGCTGCCTTGGCCTCAGGACGGGGAGGACACTCAGCAGACACTGAGTACAGCTCACAGTCCTGAGCAGGGCGCTGGGAGGACCTCCGTGTCTGCTCCACTCTGCAGAAGAGTGGAAGGGACAGTGCACACAACAGCTCTGAGACAGGAGAGTCACAGCAGGGAGGAGCAGGAGAGAAGGGGGCTGAGAGACCCCTACTGAGGGAGACTGGTAAAGCTGGCAGAGTCATCAGAGACACTGTGCGGTCAGCTGAGAACACCACAGGCGCTCAGGGACTTCCAGAGGATGGAGGGAAGGCCCTGCTCTCAGTGTGTCTTTATCATGACTTGGGAGTAATTTGTGGGCTTTCTTCTTCTTCTTCTTCTTTTTTTTTTATTTGAGACAGGGTTTCTCTGTGTAGTCCTGGCTGTCCTGGAACTCACTCTGTAGACCAGGCTTGCCTCAAACTCAGAAATCCGCTTGCCTCTGCCTCCCAAGTGCTGGGATTAAAGGCGTGTGCCACCACCGCCCGGTGGCTTTCTTCTTTTTAACAGCTTTTTTTTTTTTTTTTTTTTTTAATTCAAACACCACAGAAAATAGTAAGATATGGCATTTTCCCAGGAAAGTTTTAATCTAAAAATAAGGAACAAAGACAGGAAAGGCGAGAGATTACATACAATCTGAATGGTCTCCCATCTGACCCACACTGTTCGTCTGACAGCAGTTTCTAGTGTGCAAAGAGTACACACTCAGGAGGGAAAACTGCCCCACTGCTGATTTTTCGGCCAGTATTTATGGGAACATAATCAGGCCAGCGGGTGGATGCAAAGGGGGACTCTGCAGCCCGAAAGCCTGAGTGTAGGCTCCAAGTCTGACCGCTCAGCACCTGTGCTCTGGCTCACTGTGAGAGCAGCTGGCAGTGCCTGATCCTTGGAGGCTGCAGGGGACCACATGAGGCAGGCAGCGACTGGGCAGCATCTGGTTTTGCTCATGCTCAGTGTTTTACAAATGCGCAAATGTCCTGTGTGTCACTGACAAGAGGTCTTGGCAGCTGCTCTCTGTTTATGCCTGGGAACACAAAGACTGGAGATGCACGGATTTTATTAGGAATAAAAAAAGTTTTTAATAAGATCAGGGGGCATTTATTTGTCTTTTGTGTGTTTGTGTATGTATTCATGTGTGATGACATATGTATTCACATATGTTTATGTATATATTTGTGTGTGATGGTGTGCTTGCCCATGGGTCTAGGCCAATGTCATGCCTGGATTTCTTGAGGGTGCTAAGGACAGAATGAAGACCTGCAGGTTTGAGCAGCAAATACTTTATTGACTGATCCTCCCCCCCCCACACCTTAAACACAAGAGTGGGGCCGGGGACATGGGCAGTGGTCAAGAATGCTGGCTGCTTTTCAACAGGACCTGAGTTCAGTTCCTAGCACTCATGTCTGGTGTTTATAACTCCAGCTCCTGGGGATCTCACAACCTCTTTTAACCCCCCTGAGCACCCCCACACAAAAATACACAAATCGGTAATAAAAAATAAATTTAAAGCCGGACATGGTGGGAAGTCAGAGGCAGGCAGATCCCTGTGAGTTCCAGGCCAGTCACGGCTACAGAGTGAGACCTCAAATCAGAAAAAGAAAGAGTTGCAGTAGACAAACGGAAACAAAGTATACCCTCCTTCCCACACAGCGCTGCAGTCTCCCGCTCAGAACAGACTCCGAGCCGGACGACTGCAACACCAAGGTTCTGGCCATATAGCATGTCCTGGGATGCCTGGGAAGCGTTACAGTCAGATTTGATCCCACCCAAGGCAACAGACAAAAGGAACAGAAACGTAAGCAAATGACTTCTGACACAGTGCAGCTCACGCTGACTACGCACGGAGTCAGTCATCACAAAAAAACGTTTGTGTCGTATTTTATCAAGAGCCAAACACACTGCTACTGCTTGTTAATCAAGCGGGACAGACTGTCTCCCACTCATCTGGGCAGGAGATTAATACACTATTTCCTACGGAGGCAGCACTCCCCCACTGGGGCTTATCAGAGGAGAAAAGCCTGACATCCCTGCCCACCCCCACACAGCAAATGCCTTCGAAGCTGCCTCCTCATTTTCTGTCTAGTGAATTTCCCTGGCAGTCTGCCTCTAATGACAGGAAGTAGAGACATGTCTGAAGTATCCGAGATGGAGAACATGTGACAGACCAGGCGACATTCATACGCATGTCTAACACTGTGTCTGTTTAGTATTCACCCCATCTCAAAGACAGGAAAGGAGGCATTATCTTATGGCACCCCCATCTGGTAACAGGACTGAAGTGCATGGGACCACACTGTGTGCAGCAGGCTCCCTGTGGGATCTGAATAGGTCACTGCAGTGAGAACACTGTCTGGTGCTCACTGTAAGAGGAGTGGCGGGACAGCACCCACCACAGGCTCACACCTTGGTCTGTCATGTGGTTTTAAATAGGTTTTTCTTTTTACATTTAGTCATTTACTTTGTGTGTGTGTATGTGTGTGTGTGTGTATGTTTGTGACTTTCTCTCTGTGTATGTCTGTGTGTGTGTGTGCGTCTCTGTGTGTATATATCTCTGTGTGTCTGTGTGTGTTTGTGTCTGTCTATGTTGTGTGCCTGTGTCTCTATGTGTCTGTGTCTCTGTGTATCTGTGTGTGTGTGTCTGTGTGTGTTTGTGTCTGTCTATGTTGTATGCTTGTGTCTCCATGTGTGTCTCTGTGTCTCTGTGTGTTTGTGTCTGTGTGTCTATGTTGTATGCTTGTGTCTCCATGTGTTTGTGTGTCTTCCTGTGTGTTTGTGTCTGTGTTGTGTGCTGGTATCTCCATATGTGTTTGTGTGTCTGTGTGCACACACTGACAAGCTGTGTGGAAATCAGAGGACAGGCTGTGGGACTCTGCTTTCTGTTTTTCTTTTGGGGGTCCTGGCAATTGAATCCTGTCAGGGGTTTAGTATCTTAGACACCAGCTCAACTGACACATGACGAAGCATCTGATGCCTGTCAGGTTTGATGCTGGAGGACCACATGGGACCGTGCCTTGTGGACATTCAGTTAGCAGTTATGAAGCCAGACACATGTGCAGCGGATAAGGGAAAGGGACTGAGGAGTGTGCCTGAGCCTGGAAGAAGACAGCAAAGGCTTTCTCTGGAGAGTGACAGTTACGTGTAGTTTCGGAAAGGGCCAAGTTAACTAGACGGGCAATGAGGGACATTTCAGGCAGAAGCAGCCCAGAGCTGAGCTAGCTAAGGGCTCAGTATGGAGCCTCTGAGCAGACAGCAGCAGGAAAAGCAGATGAAGGCCCTATCATAAAAGGCTACATATGCCCAGGTATGGTGATGTACACCTTTAACCCCAGCACTTGGGAAGCAGAAGCGGGTGGATCTCTGAGTTTCTTTTTTTGTTTGTTTGTTTTTCGAGACAGGGTTTCTCTGTGTAGCCCTGGCTGTCCTGGAACTCACTCTGTAGACCAGGCTCGCCTCGAACTCTCGAACTCAGAAATCCGCCTGCCTCTGCCTCCCAAGTGCTGGGATTAAAGGCGTGCGCCACCACCGCCCGGCCGATCTCTGAGTGTTTCTATGTCAGCCTGGTCTATGTAGCAAGTTCCAAGACAGCCTGGACTACAAGAGAGCCTGTATCCAAAAAAAATAAAAGAAGCCATATATACTAACAGGACAATGTCAAATATGTGTGTGCTAAGTTTCAGGTTCCACGCTGTTTCTTTAAGTCACTTTGGTGGTTTGAATGAGAATAAACTCCATAAACCCATACACTTGAACATGTGGTCCCTAGTTGATGGAACTGGTTGGGAAGGGTTAGGAGGTATAGGCTTGTTGGAGGAGGAGTACCAGTGGTGTTGGGCTTTGTGGTTTCAAGAGACTCACCATTACCAGTACACACACACACACACACACACACACACACACACACA